ACCACAGTGTGGATTTGGACCTTGGAGAACAGCAGACTGGGAGGTGTGGGCAGTGGTCTGTCTCCAAGAATTACACCTCTGACCCGTGGTCTCTATGGCTGGAGAATGTTGCTGACTCTTGTGGGACAAGGTGGTAAGTTGCACTGCAAGAGGAGCCAGGGCATGGGCCTTTATTCCAAGCTCAGTATCGCTCCCTCTGAGCTCTAGTGCTTCACTGCATGTTGGTGAGTGGCAAGTGGTCCAGGCCCCGTACTGGGCTCCCTGGCTAGCTGGCTATGGTAGGAGTTGCCTTGGTGGCCACAGTATGAGATGCGGGGAAAAGCACATGGCCAGGCCATTGGGATGAAGCTCAGCAGCTGCTAGGAGTTGAGCTGCTGCATGGATCCCCTTTGGATTATCTTAGGGTTAGGAGCTAGGGCCTTCCCTAAAGAAGTGTGGAGGAGTGGTAAGCCTGGGCTTTTCCTGCTTGCTTGGCTCTGTTCTAGCCAACTCAGGGCAGGCAGCCTAGCCCACCATAACCTGGTATCCACAGTTCTCCAAGGACTTCCAGATGCTGAATCCAATGAAGCAGGTGCCAGCCCTGAAGATTGATGGAATCATCATTGGCCAGTCGGTGAGTATGGAGCAGTTCTGTGCACGATAGACCGCGTGTCTCTTCCTTGTCTATGTGTAGAGAAGGGGCGAATAGTTGAGGCTCAATAAGTATTTGTCAGAGAGAGGTTATTTTGGGAGATGAGCAGAGAGCAGGGCATCCGGGAGATGAAATTGTGCAACATAAGGTCCTAAAGGCTTCGTAGGGCTCCAGCCGAAGAGTGTTTGGAAGAGAAGATAGCACTGGAGGAAGAGATTTCTGGCCCTGTCCCTTGTGGTTTGGGGTTCCAAGCTCTCTCAGTGCCCTCTCTGGACAGCTGGCCATCATTGAGTACCTAGAGGAGACTCGGCCCACTCCACGACTCCTGCCTCGAGACCTGAAGAAGAGGGCCAGTGTACGCATGATTTCCGACCTCATCGCTGGTGGCATCCAGCCCCTGCAGGTGAGGCGCCTGTGCTCTTACCCCCTTGCCTGCCTCTGCATTCGTGCCCCTACACACCAGCTATGGCAGGTCCCCAGGCAGGTGCCCAGCTTAAGGTTCAAGGTAGCAAGAAGACAGCAAAGAATTCTCAGAGGCTGTGACCTAAACCATGAGCAAAAGGGAGCCGGCATCTAAGAAATCCTCCACCCTCGTAGGTCCCCAGTTGTGTTCTAGGAAGTGCTAGGTCTCCAAGGGCACGTCTGGGGGGCAGGGAGGCCAGGGAGGAGCTGAACAGGCTTGGGTCCAGGCTCCCAACATTTATCTGTTGTCTGTCATACACATTTCATATCTCATTTTATTGCACCTGGTGTTACACTTCAAAGGTTTTTTTAACATGGAAAGTTTGTGTTAGTCATGTTGGTCTCATCACCACATCAGTCCAATGGTACCACTTCCCCAACAGCTCAGGTGATTGTTAGCATTTTTTTTTTTACACAGTAGAGGATTTTTAAAACTAAGATGTGTACATTTTTTAGACATAATGACACTGCTTGACTAATAGACTGTAGTGTACAGTGTAAATGAAATTTTATGAACACAAAACCAAAATTCTGCCTGACTTACTTTATTGGAATGTTTGCCTTCTTGTCAGGGTCTAGAACTAAGTCTGTAGTGTCTCCCAGGTGCCCTTATATTGGGATTCTCATAGTAGATATCATTTTCCCAGAACTGGGAGTTGAGCCCAGGACCTCTGCACTGAGCTGTACGTCCAGCCCTTTTATTTATCTATTTATTTTTGTATTTGGTACAAGGTCTCACTACACAGCTCAGTCTCCTAGTGATCCTCCTGTTATCAGCGCCCCCCACTGGGATTACAGGCGTGTGCGCCATGCCCCGTCTCTGGGGTGGGGCAGGGCCGGCGCTGCACGCCAAGGAATGCTGGGGATTGAACCCCGATCCCTTTACTTGTCTAAGCAGGCGCTTAGTCTGTTGAGCTATCTTGCCAGACCTAGATGGCCCTTTTCACATTGCAGTTAGGTCTCTCTAAGTTGCTAGGATGCCCAGACTGAGTTCAGACTTGGGGTCCTCCTGCCTCAGCCCCTCAGAGTCCTGAGATTACAAGTCTGTGGCACTATACCTGGCTGGTTTTTTGGTTTTTGTTTTGTTTCATTTTTTTCTATAACTATTTTTTCTTTTTCTTGTGGTGCCAGGGATTGACCCTAGGCCTTGTACATACATACTAGGGAAGTGATCTGCCACTAAACTAAGCTACATCCCCAGCCCTTCCCAGCTGGTTTATTTTTATTTATTTACTTTTAAGTTTTCATTGATTGGTGAGACAGAAAAGCAAATATTAAGACTGTTCTGTGACAGCTCCTGATTTTGTGAGAAAACAGCCCAGAAAGGCGAGATGCCTTCACTGAGTGACACAGCTACGTAGCAGCAGGGCAGTGGTCGAGGTCAGGACGCCTGTGCACCGTGCCCTACTCCTGTGTCATCTTGCTGTTTTAACAAAGCAGACTGCAGCAGACGTACATCCCATTTACAGGAAGCAGAAGCAGAAGTGAAATGGCTCCCAGGGTGGAGGGTGCACCAGTCTCAACATCTGTGTCCTTTCCCTCTGTACCCCCAACCAGCACTGAACTGCCTCTCTTCATAAGAGAGAGTTCAAAAAAAGGAAAGAAAAGCATGGTTTCAGAGGAAACGAGCCTCGGGGTGTGGTCATGCCTCCCATAGCCATGGTGGCATCCTGTGCCTCCATTCTGGCACAGGGCTTTCAGACAGCTGGGGGGAGAGGCAGGGGTGCAGCCTGAGAAGGTGGCTGCTGAGCTGGCTCCCTTCCTCCAGCTTCAGAGCCATGAGGGCAACAAGGGGTCCACGGAGTCCATGGGAGGAGGGAGGAGTGGATGCGAGGAAGAGCCAGAGGCAGATGAGGGGAGGAACTCAGCTGAGGGGCAGGCCAAGGCTAGTCTCAAAAAATCAGATTTCCTTGGGTTGCGCAGAACCTGTCTGTCCTGACGCAAGTGGGAACGGAGAACCAGCTGCCCTGGGCTCAGAAGGCCATCAGTTCTGGCTTTAATGGTGAGTCTTCCTGTAAAGTTCTTTGGAGTGACCTCTCAGAGAAATGACCCTGGAGCACAGGGCCCTGAGCATCCTACCAACTTCCCGGGCTGTCTTGATCTTGACAGCAGCAGCAGTGAGGGCAGGGCTAGGAGGCAGCAGACTGGGCAGACCTTTAAGCCTGACCTCAGGCTCCAGCACTGAGGAATCTCAGTGCGGGAGGCCCACAGTCCTACACAACTGGATCATGGCCCAACTACTGCTTCATTGCCCACTCTGGCTAAGTCAGGACCAGCAAATGCCTGGACCTGCCAGTTTGAGAGCTGAGGCCTGGGCCAGTTTATCTTACCTATGCCACTTGGGCGGTTGTGGCTGGGCTTGAAGAACCAGGCTTGGTCCTAGAAACTCTCCAGTCCTGACTGTGACAAATCTTCCAGCAGCCATGCTCTAGCCTTCAGTTAGATGACCACTCATTCACAACTGTGGAGGCCAAGACTCAGGAAGGCTGATGTCCCCTCTCCGTACCCAGAGTGAGATGACTCATGTTTTCCCCACAGCCCTGGAGCAGATTCTGCAGGGCACAGCAGGGAAATTCTGTGTGGGAGATGAGGTAAGTGTCCCCAGACCTGCTCACCAGGCCTCCTCCTCCTCCTGTGGCCGTCAGGCTGCCCCTGTCTCCCACATAGCCATCTCCTCCCCAGGACTCCAGGCTTCTTGCAGAGGCTCATGTATGAACATGCCAGATCTCTTCTTGTCACGATCTCTGGCCAGGCAGTCAGCTTATGGAGAGCTCCTAATCTGCCCTAAGAGGAAGTCAGAAGGCTGCCCTCTGAGACAGCCAGGTAGGCCAGGCATCAGCTGAGGAGTTGGACTAGATGATATCTCCCTTCTCAATTCTGAGACTCTAGAATTCAGGGCCCCTCAGATATCCTTAATATTGTGGACTTTGACTCTGAGCCTGTGATAGTTCTGCTTCCTTGGCTCCTGAGGCATCAGCTCTCTGCTGGAAACTCTCGCTAAGTGCCTGATAATAGCAGTTTTAATAAGCATGACAATATCACCAAGGGAAGCAGACTTTCTCTGGCCACCCACACGGTTGCTTGGCAGGGCAAGTGGAGCTTAGCCTGGAAGCAGCACTGTGGCTGTGGGGGACAGCCAGATAGCCCAGGGGAGACAAGGGTGAGGGCGAGGTGGTAGAGATGGGTGGAAGAGCCTAGGCAGATGGGAACGTCAGGGTGGCACCCTCCACGTAGTTGCAGTAGACACACTGAGTCTGGGGTGCTTACCCCAACACAAACCCACCTGATCCCATTTCAGGTATCCATGGCTGATCTGTGCTTAGTGCCTCAGGTGGCAAATGCGGAAAGGTAAGAGAGCCCTCCTATTCTTCCTTCTTCCATCCAGCCAGGCCTCCCATTTCAGCCACTATGTAGCAGACTTTCCCAACTGGTCAAGGGGCCCACTTGCTGGACTACAACCACCACCTTGGGCCTAAAGAGACAAGGTGGAAAACATCAATGAAATATCCTAGGAAGTTCATTATACCCCTGCTAAAAGGTGGCTCACTTGTGGGCACCTCAGGAACCCTGCCATCCCCAGATCTTTGCTTTTTTTTTTTTTTTTTTT